ATTGCAAAATATGAAAACATACAACACTCGGTCATTTTGTATCGGGTGATCATTTTTTTATTCTCTTTTCGCAACCCCCTCTAAACTGAGATTATGGGGATTGTGTTGTAAGGGTCTACTATTTCTCGATCTTTAAAGATACGCAGTTCTAGGAAAAAAAACATGCAATATTTCAAAACTATACCTGCAATAAATTGAATGTTTGCAGATATAAAATTAAATCCCCATCAGTTAACCCATTTTCATTTGAAAATGCCACCCAACAAGTTAACCCTCTAATATATATCAAACAATTAACAGAAAATGTGCTTGATATTTCTGATGTACTTAAATTATATTACCCTCATCCAGTCCAAAACTATAGTCTGCACTCTATAAATCAATGAACAACATTCAAAATTAAAATTGGTTAAGACAGGAAGCATAAAAGGATCGACAGCTAACCTGTCCCAAGTCCACCGCAGGGTTCAAACTCTTCCCACAGTCATACACAAGATCGCCCCTTATTAAAGTAATTGCTCCTGTCAGAAGATCAATCTCCACCTGCACTTTTTAGAAGATTTTGAATAGAAAGCGTATCACCTATAAGACATCCAAACATGATTTAACTGCACTGTTGTAAATTAGTCTTGAGAATTTTAGCGCACCTCACTTATACCAGCTCCATAGTTAAGGTACTTATTAGAAACTTGGCCAGGTACCCAGTACGCACTTGCAGATAAATTAACATTATCTTTAGAGGCCTGCTTGGAAACATTACAGGACGTTTTCTGATTGCTGCTACAGCAGGAAATAGTATTGTACAAAGCATGAGCACAAACTAGAGGAGGATAAACTTGCCTGAGAAATCAAAGTATTCCATGAGACATTTTCTGATTGCTGCTGCAGCCTATCCAAGACTGGCTTTAATCTATCAAACAGCATATTGCATGCCTGGAGGGTGGCTGCACAACTAGATTCAGAAGAAGTGTTGCCAGCAGTAAGTCCACCTTGTATTAAGTTCAAGGTGTCAGCCTGTAGAACACGCACTCTCTCAAGAAGACTTTCACCTCCATCAGGCCACAATTTTCCCAGAGCAAAGGCAGTCATCTGCTGTACTTTTGTCCACAGACCTTGCCCGATTTCAATTCCTCCAACCTCCACCACTATGGAGCCATCATTGAGCACACAAACCCTTCCTGGGCCAGCGGCCTTGGCTCTACTTTGAAAATGAGGGGTACACAAGAGATGCCCCTGTTTCCGCCACTTGTTGTTACTGTTAAATTTCATTATGGATTCAGCTCGATCCAGGTAGCTTGAAGTTGCGGCCAACCTATGAAAAATAGAATGCAATGTGTAGCGTAGAAGTTTCGCCCGCACTATCTGGGTAGAACAACTGAAGGGTATCATAGGTGTGAAAATTCTTTTCCCTCACGCTGTTCGCATCCACTGACAGGACAGACGCAACATGCTCAATTACAGCATCTGCAATTAGAGAGCCTTGTGTATCTCCAGGAGCACGCATTACAGATTTAGATGAATTATTTGTTTTGCAGAGCTTGATGTCAAATGACAGAGCACCCCAGTTGTACTTCTTGACACTAGATATAATAGTGCCTGGTATCATGGGGCTTGCATCTGGAGATATCCCAGCGTTAATTAATAAATCTAGATGCAAGGCCGTAATTTTCCCATCAGACTTGAATCCGACAGAATAATGAGCTTTCACTGGGTGCCTACCACCAATCATAACCATATCAGTGATGCGATTAAGGTACATTCGTACAGGGCGTCGTAACTTGTACACACAAAGTGCAGCTGCTGTTGCAACCAGCACAAGCATGTACCATATGTAAGAAACAGATGGTAATGTACTAGGTCTTTATGATTTCATGATATTGATAGCAGATTGTCATATGCAATCACCACAGACTAAAATATCAAATATGTCAACTTAAGTCTAAAATAGTTGCTAGATCTTCTAAAGTAGATCGAGGGCCAACAAACTTAAGTCTAAAATAGTTGCTAGAGGGACTTAATTTGATTTTGGGCTAGAGTTACCGAAAGGTCCCAGGTTCGAGTCGCGGTCTCCTCGCATTGCACAGGCGAGGGTAAGGCTTGCCACTAACACCCTTCCCCAGACCCCGCACAGAGCGGGAGCTCTCTGCACTGGGTACGCCCTAGAGTTTTTTTATTGCGAAGCCCAAATAAAAGAGTCAGAGTTAGATGCATTTGCATGGTGTAAAAGCGCATGGTTAAATGAATATATTGCCAATTAGGCCTAAATGGCTTTCCTCGGAAAATATGATTCCTAAATAATCAAACCTCATACTACAAACTATCAATACAACATTTATTTTCCACAAACAATGCAGTTAACAAAGTAGAAAAAAATATTGCATTTAACAATTTTCAAAGTTTAGAACTGTATATATAGAAAACAGAATAATAACTTTTTCATCTGTACTATATGTCTATAAATGTAAACTTTCGATGTCCATTTTTCAGCTTGCAAGTCCAAGTCCAAGAAAAAGCTCTTAACTGAAGAATAATAAGGATTTTTTAAAAAAAACTGACACTAGTCCAGGTCTAAACAAGCAATGACCTCATCACAAGTTAAAAAAGATACTAAAGTACAATAAACTATACACCAGGGTAAAGATTTTATATTAAAAATAATTAGTTTTCATAAAATGGAAGATTTTGGTTATTATGATCTAGTTTTGTTTATTCTCACTTGGAATGATCTGAATGCCTTTCCACCGAAGCCTCCTCCAACCCTTCTTGTAATGACACGCACATTGCTGAATGGAATACCTAGGCACCTTGCTATGACACTTTGTGCAAGTTCAGGGTACTGTGACGAACTGTAGACTACCAAAGTGTTATCCTCATCTGGAACTGCTAGTGCTGTCTGCGTTTCCATGTAGAAGTAGTACTCAGAGGCAAGTTTTACCTGCAGTCATCAAAACTACATGAGATATCCTCTCTTAGCTTCCATGGAAAGAGAAGTAGGATAGGTACTAATGAGAAGTACATTGATGGGTCTTACTATGCAATTTCAAGCTTCTATATTTTAAACTTCTACCGTAATTGACGCTTTATTATCTATGCGAAACATCCCAAATTATTCAACATGTATATATTTCAAGTCAGGCGGTGGATATACAAGAAAAATGCATCATTAAATGTGCATGGTGTCGCAGCAGTGGCACCGGCCACGGTTTCGCAGCGAAAGACCGGAGCTCCGTACGGGGGCCGTCCAGGCGGCGTCTTCGTCGTCGTTGAGCGTGACCCGGCTATGCGCTTGTCAAGCTCCATCAACTCCACTGGCGGGCGAGGCTCATGGCGGCCGCATGGCGATCGCGGATTGTGGATCCGCACCGCATGGCTCATGGCGGCGAAGACCCCCGTGAAGAGCTGGGACGCGTTATGCGTTTCCTCGAGGGGCCCGGCAAGGGTAGAGCGCCGAACCGGTTCGGTACTCCTCCACGGTGCTCGCGGCGCCGGCACTCCATGAAGCTCGAAGAGGGGAGCAGAACGCAGGGCGGAAACGCAGTGGAGAATGTCCTTGAAGCGGCTCCACCGAGGAACGCCCTCGTCATCCGGTGAGCCGGAGGTACCACTGGTGGCCACGTCCTCAAGATTATACGAGGCCATCCACACCTTCTCCTCTTCCATGATCCGCTGTTGATGGAAATAAGATTCACAGCGGCTGACGAAGATGAGCGGATCGACCGTACCATCATAGCGCGGGAAATCCATCTTCTGGAACCGCGGAGGGCGATCGTTGTGGTGCTGGCCGTCCATGGCCCCGCCCGGACCTGAGGACGATGAGGACTTGTCCTTGTCCTTCTTCAAGGCCGCGACGTCGGACTGCAGGGAGGCGATCGTGCCGGTGAGGCTCGCGATCATCTGGGCGATGTCAGCGTTGGAGGGATCCGCCATGGGAGATGTAGCGGAGGCGGCTGATGGTGGGGAGTCCGGTGCGCTGGGAATAGGCGCGACAGAGGTGGGCAGCGTGGCAGCGGAGGATGAAACGGCGGCGGCGGCGGACGAACGGGATCGGTGTGACCGTGATACCAGGTTGTCAAGGGCCTCGACGCCCAGGGTAGCCGGCCCTTGGCTACGGAGGTTGTAGCCGCGGTCCGTGTCGCCTCCGGTGAGGTTTTGCCCCTCCACCGTGAGTTTGGTTGAGAGAAGAGAGAGTTTAGGGATAATGATCTTTCTTAATTTGCAAAGTGCCGGATACAATAATAAATAGCCCATGGCTGGAACTGCCATGCCTACAATTTAGGAAAGCCAACAAACTAATAGGAAAGCCAAATAACTAATTGCTACTTGCTAAACTTAGCCACTAACGGTGGCCTTCCCAGCCGAGAGCTGGGCGCGCTCTGCAGCGCGGCGCACGTCACGCGCACGGCGTCTCACATACGAGCGCCCCCACATGACATGCCATCGAATTAATGTACAAGAGCCCAATAAGGCACTAGCTATGTTGCAAAACCTGTGCCAGTATTTAGCTGTACTTATATGTTCAAGAGATCAGTATGGAGCACAACAGGGCACAATAAGGTCTTGACAAGGGAAATGCTTGAATAGTTCTATCAGTTAGTTGCATCTAATTGTTAGCATATCCATCACATAAATAGTCAGGAAGATACAGTGTTTGCAAATGTCGCCAAGACTGAATATTGCAAAATATGAAAACATACAACACTCGGTCATTTTGTATCGGGTGATCATTTTTTTATTCTCTTTTCGCAACCCCCTCTAAACTGAGATTATGGGGATTGTGTTGTAAGGGTCTACTATTTCTCGATCTTTAAAGATACGCAGTTCGAGGAAAAAAAAACATGCAACATTTCAAAACTATACCTGCAATAAATTGAATGTTTGCAGATATAAAATTAAATCCCCATCAGTTAACCCATTTTCATTTGAAAATGCCACCCAACAAGTTAACCCTCTAATATATATCAAACAATTAACAGAAAATGTGCTTGATATTTCTGATGTACTTAAATTATATTACCCTCATCCAGTCCAAAACTATAGTCTGTACTCTATAAATCAATGAACAACATTCAAAATTAAAATTGGTTAAGACAGGAAGCATAAAAGGATCGACAGCTAACCTGTCCCAAGTCCACCGCAGGGTTCAAACTCTTCCCACAGTCATACACAAGATCGCCCCTTATTAAAGTAATTGCTCCTGTAAGAAGATCAATCTCCACCTGCACTTTTTAGAAGATTTTGAATAGAAAGCGTATCACCTATAAGACATCCAAACATGATTTAACTGCACTGTTGTAAATTAGTCTTGCGAATTTTAGCGCACCTCACTTATACCAGCTCCATAGTTAAGGTACTTATTAGAAACTTGGCCAGGTACCCAGTACGCACTTGCAGATAAACTAACATTATCTTTAGAGGCCTGCTTGGAAACATTACAGGACGTTTTCTGATTGCTGCTACAGCAGGAAATAGTATTGTACAAAGCATGAGCACAAACTAGAGGAGGATAAACTTGCCTGAGAAATCAAAGTATCCCATGAGACATTTTCTGATTGCTGCTGCAGCCTATCCAAGACTGGCTTTAATCTATCAAACAGCATATTGCATGCCTGAAGGGTGGCTGCACAACTAGATTCAGAAGAAGTGTTGCCAGCAGTAAGTCCACCTTGTATTAAGTTCAAGGTGTCAGCCTGTAGAACACGCACTCTCTCAAGAAGACTTTCACCTCCATCAGGCCACAATTTTCCCAGAGCAAAGGCAGTCATCTGCTGTACTTTTGTCCACAGACCTTGCCCGATTTCAATTCCTCCAACCTCCACCACTATGGAGCCATCATTGAGCACGGAAACCCTTCCTGGGCCGGCCTTGGCTCTACTTTGAAAATGAGGGGTACACAAGAGATGCCCCGTTTCCGCCACTTGTTGTTACTGTTAAATTTCATTATGGATTCAGCTCGATCCAGGTAGCTTGAAGTTGCGGCCAACCTATCAAAAATAGAATGCAATGTGTACGTAGAAGTTTCGCCCGCACTATCTGGGTAGAACAACTGAAGGGTATCATAGGTGTGAAAATTCTTTTCCCTCACGCTGTTCGCATCCACTGACAGGACAGACGCAACATGCTCAATTACAGCATCTGCAATTAGAGAGCCTTGTGTATCTCCAGGAGCACGCATTACAGATTTAGATGAATTATTTGTTTTGCAGAGCTTGATGTCAAATGACAGAGCACCCCAGTTGTACTTCTTGACACTAGATATAATAGTGCCTGGTATCATGGGGCTTGCATCTGGAGATATCCCAGCGTTAATTAATAAATCTAGATGCAAGGCCGTAATTTTCCCATCAGACTTGAATCCGACAGAATAATGAGCTTTCACTGGGTGCCTACCACCAATCATAACCATATCAGTGATGCGATTAAGGTACATTCGTACAGGGCGTCGTAACTTGTACACACAAAGTGCAGCTGCTGTTGCAACCTGCACAAGCATGTACCATATGTAAGAAACAGATGGTAATGTACTAGGTCTTTATGATTTCATGATATTGATAGCAGATTGTCATATGCAATCACCACAGACTAAAATATCAAATATGTCAACTTAAGTCTAAAATAGTTGCTAGATCTTCTAAAGTAGATCGAGGGCCAACAAACTTAAGTCTAAAATAGTTGCTAGAGGGACTTAATTTGATTTTGGGCTAGAGTTACCGGAAGGTCCCGGGTTCGAGTCGCGGTCTCCTCGCATTGCACAGGCGAGGGTAAGGCTTGCCACTAACACCCTTCCCCAGACCCCGCACAGAGTGGGAGCTCTCTGCACTGGGTACACCCTAGAGTTTTTTTATTGCGAAGCCCAAATAAAAGAGTCAGAGTTAGATGCATTTGCATGGTGTAAAAGCGCATGGTTAAATGAATATATTGCCAATTAGGCCTAAATGGCTTTCCTCGGAAAATATGATTCCTAAATAATCAAACCTCATACTACAAACTATCAATACAACATTTATTTTCCACAAACAATGCAGTTAACAAAGTAGAAAAAAATATTGCATTTAACAATTTTCAAAGTTTAGAACTGTATATATAGAAAACAGAATAATAACTTTTTCATCTGTACTATAAGTCTATAAATGTAAACTTTCGATGTCCTTTTTCAGCTTGCAAGTCCAAGGAAAAAGCTCTTAACTGAAGAATAATAAGGATTTTTTTTAAAAAAAACTGACACTAGTCCAGGTCTAAACAAGCAATGACCTCATCACAAGTTAAAAAAGATACTAAAGTACAATAAACTATACACCAGGGTAAAGATTTTATATTAAAAATAATTAGTTTTCATAAAATGGAAGATTTTGGTTATTATGATCTAGTTTTGTTTATTCTCACTTGGAATGATCTGAATGCCTTTCCACCGAAGCCTCCTCCAACCCTTCTTGTAATGACACGCACATTGCTGAATGGAATACCTAGGCACCTTGCTATGACACTTTGTGCAAGTTCAGGGTACTGTGACGAACTGTAGACTACCAAAGTGTTATCCTCATCTGGAACTGCTAGTGCTGTCTGCGTTTCCATGTAGAAGTAGTACTCAGAGGCAAGTTTTACCTGCAGTCATCAAAACTACATGAGATATCCTCTCTTAGCTTCCATGGAAAGAGAAGTAGGATAGGTACTAATGAGAAGTACATTGATGGGTCTTACTATGCAATTTCAAGCTTCTATATTTTAAACTTCTACCGTAATTGACGCTTTATTATCTATGCGAAACATCCCAAATTATTCAACATGTATATATTTCAAGTCAAAGTTGGATATACAAGAAAAATGCATCATTAAATGTGTCATTATTAGTCGTGATTTCTGGACCAGTTTCCACTCAAAGAACTGGGCCAAACTAGGGGCAAAACTATTGCCGCCCTTTCAAAAAAAATATGTAACATTAAAAATAGTTACCAACATTACATTATTGATAAATTCTAGTGATTTAACGTTACATAAAGTTAAAGTAATGGCTAAAGTCGCATATCAAGACTCTCAAAAGATCAAAATCATCAAGCAGGAAATAACTTTGGTAGTTTGGTTGGTGGGGTGTACTGCTGTACAAGCATTGCAACTCCATTGTGCAAATCAATTTCATGGGATTGCAAGCAATACATATACCACGAAAGTTGGTTATTAATCTAACACAATTTCTTAATGAAATCACGCGCAGCTCTCCTGCGTAGTTCAAGGAAAAAAATTAATCTAACACAAGTACTGTTCTACACCTAGATCACCTCAAAACAAAACAAAACAGAGAATTACTTTTAGTAATTGTTATTTCAATCTTAACTTCGAAGTAGCTACTGCTAGCAATTAATTTGAAGTAACCATTACAAAAGTGACTCAGTAATCCGAACTTTCAGAAGTAGTGGTTTAGACAGTATTCAACACAGGCAGATTATCTCAACTTTTGGCTTCTCAAATGTATCAGGTTTCTTTGTCTATTGATGTATTAATGGAATAGTATGTACAGTATAGTTCAAAGCAGACTCTACACAGGATGAAAAATTAAAATTTTGGAGCACATAGAACTGCATGCTTTAATTTCCCTTCATTATTTTTTGATGCAAGTGAAATTAAATTATTAACGATTCTGGAAAGTTGTTGAACTAAAATACTTCTGTTGATGGGATCTTGTGATCAGCTTCTGCCATGCCCTTGGAAACATCACCAACTTCTTTAGGATACAATTCTGGGGGGACATCAAAGTAGCTACTCTTTTCCACTGCTTGCTCCACAGTTATGATCGGTGGGCTCAAATCTTCCGAGTCATATTCAATAATAACTTGCTTGGCTGCCATGTCAGCATACCTTTGTGTTTCTGCAATCTGAGGTAGAGGTAATGATTTAGCAATACTGATTATGGTCATTAATATTCATAATTGTCTTTTATCAAGAAATTTTTAAGAGAGCAACAATTCCTGTGAGTGGTTATACTACACACATGAAAGGGTAAGTACCACAATGCCAAGAGCTTGACCAGCATACTCAGCAATCGGATAACCAAATAGTGGTTCGTCACCAAACGTGAAGGATGATCCAATATTTTGTCCTCCACTTGGAATATCCTTTGCAGAAACAAAAGAGATGAGCTTCTCTGATGCTAAAGAAGACTTGAATTTTATACTTTTGGCATAAGCAAGGGGTCGTGTGTTGTAAATAAATTCTCCATAGAGGCAATTCTTTGGAGAAGGAATATCATCCACATATACTGCCTCCCCTTTTCACGCAATGAAAACAACCCCATCTCTGCCCCCCCCCCACGTTGCTCCCCCACGCGGGCGACACGGGCGGCCGCGCCCTCCCAAACCCTAGCAGCCGCCCCTTCCCTCCCCTCCCCTTGACACGCCACCGCCGGAGCTGGCCGCTGGCGGGGCTCCTCCGCTCCTCGCGATTTGATGGCGCAGGTGATAGTGAGCCGGCGGCTCTCCTCCCACACGGGCTGCGTGGAGCCCGGCGGGGGCGTCCGCCGCGGCTGTTGGCGGCGCCGACTGGTGTCCGGCTGGCGCGTGGGGACGGCGGCAGATTCCCTTCTCCCTCGCCCATCCCTTCCTCCAGACTTGGCGGCGGCGGCGTTGGCCTGGATTGCTGGATCGAGTCTTGGGCGGCTGGATCCGGTGTCCACGCGGCCGGATTTGGAGCTCCGGTACCTAGACCCGGCACTCTCTCGGAGGGCTGGCAAGGGCGGTGGCTAGCCAAGGCGGAGGCGGCGGCGACAACAAAGAGTGTCGGCACCGGTGCTCTACTGCCGGTTCTGACGCCACTGGGCAGGGGGCGGCGCCCAAGGGGGTGGGGCACGTGTCTGGTGGTGGCTGACGTCGGGTCGCAGCGTCGGCAACACGTGCCAAGAGCCAGCGATAGCGGCCGGCTGAGGCGTTGGTCGTGTGGCGGTGTTTCGCGAGCAACGGAGTCAGGTCCGGCCGCGTTGCCCGGCCGGAGGGGGTGACGGCGGCGCGACTATCGCGGTGCGCCGCGCGTGACCGCACGCCGAGCCCCTCTGAAGGGTTTACTGTGGAGCGGCAGGGCAACGGTGAAGGCAGTGATGGATGGCAAGGGGCCTTGCTTCTTGGCCCGACGTTCGTGCTTGAGGACTCCTTGGGCGAAAGCCTAGCAACGGCGACACCTGTGGGTGCCGCTTTCCCTGTTCGGGGCGTCGTGTATCTCCTCTAGCACTATCATCCAAGGGTGAAAGCCCGGTCCACTTTGGACATGCGACGGTGGCGCCATCGGCGTCGCTACCTTCTTGAAGGCGTCGCGTTTGGATTTCGTCGTGGCCTCGATGTTTCCTCGGTGATTGTTCTTCGCTTCTTGGCGCCTCGATGACGGGTGAAGGCGGGTCTTGCTGCGAGAAGTCGAAGCTGCTGCGTCAGGGACGTGGCTCGGCAACGATGACACGCGGCGAGCCCCCACCTTCATCGTAGGCTGGGGTCTGCTAGGGGTCGGCAAGCGCTGGAGGCAAGGCGTGTGGCCGTGATTGGAAGTCGGAGCTGTTCTTTGCGGGGTGCTTGAGCTTGGCAACGATGACCGGTTGTGGTCGCTTGCTTCGGGCTCGTTGGTGGGTGGCTTGTGTGTGGACTGCCATGAGAAGTCGGAGCTGCTAGCGTCTTCAGCCATGCTCGGCAACGATGACCCATGGTAGTGTGCCGTGTTAGTGCTCTGTTGCGTCGTGTGGGTTGGTTAACCTATCGGGTGCCCTTTTTGACATCCCGTGTGCTGTAAATAAATTCTCCATAGAGGCAATTCTTTGGAGCAGGAATATCATCCACATATACTGCCTCCCCTGTATTACACAATAGAAACATCAAATCTTGCTCTGCAAAAAGATTCTGGAGAATATGTTGACAACACTACTAAAAATTCTATTGTAACCACATAACAGAAGCTTGAAGTTCAACACCATACTTCTTAATCGGTTCACCAACTGGTTTATAATCATCACTGGAAAATGTTTCTCGACGCGTTGATAATGGCAGATTACGGACATCATCTGTATCTGCTGAATCAGCAGAACTACTGCCCAGAGACTTTCCAGGCTCTTGGATGCCTTTAGAAAGCGGAGATAGGAAACTGAAGAGAAATCCAACAGCTGCACTGACTCTATATTCAGGATGTGAAGTTCCCTCCATTGGTACAACCGTTTCTCTAAGTAATTTAATTGCACCAAGTACAACCAAAGCGGTGAGTGCTTTACCAGTAAGGAATTCCTCCACCTTCTTTGCTCTAATAGCATGTTCTGTTCCATATGCACCAAAAGCCAACCGCATATTACTCAATACAAGAGTATCTGATTGTTCATCCACAGAAGCGTGCCCCAAGAAAGCACAATTTACATATGAAACAGCATTGCCAAGAGGACGAGGCGCTGCTCTGCAAGTTTCAAATAACAAACTTGTATTTGTCCCAGAATCTGAAATCCAATGTGGAATAAATATGCTCAGGAGTAAAGTAGTAGCATCTATAGGAGGCTGCTCTAGGAACTCTTCCAAAGTAATTTGTCTCCGTTCTGCAACAGCCTGAAGACAAACAGTTGCACCAGCACCAAGGAGTATGGTTGCAATGTCTGATGGAAATGGGAATTTTTGCGCCAAAACTATGTTTCCTCCAATACTAGCTGTGTTACGAACAAAAGGTGTAGCAACTTTGCTCATGTGGTTCGCAAGTTTTCTGAAAACCACACTTCCGTTTGGAGAGGATATAGATTCACATTCTTCCTCAAGTATCTCAATGGTCCTAGAGATTGGTGTAGCTGCTCCAATTTCAAAGCCAGACTCCATCCTTAGAATATTTGAAAGTTCTAGAATACCTCCTATGTCAATATACTTACTATAGAGGTCTTGATCCTTGTATCCTGGTACACCACTGCTAGTATTCCCAACAACCACTTTGACTGAGTCACTAAAAAAAGAAGAATTTATTAACTCATAATACTCTTTGATACTTCTCGGATGATACCAACCCTCCCTGGAGGCTGCAATATAAGGATTATTCAGATGATCAAGCGAAGATTTTAGCTCAGCTTTTAGAAAGTCTGGGAAGGTGCAGACTCCGCCACCAAGAGTGTAACTTGGCAATTCACTAACATCTCGGTTCCTATCACCTTTCTTCCAGAATATATTAAGGCCCAAATCCTCCAAGTCAACATCTGATGCAAAACTTTTGCAGGCATCAACAATTGGACGGTAACCAGTGCATCTGCACAAGTTGCCAGAGAAAGCCTTTTCTGCTTCTGATACTTTTAGCTTTGAGAACCCCTTTGGTGGTTCAGGCCTCTTGGATTTGTCAGCATTGATAAGGGAAGTGAAAATAGACATGCACATTCCAGGAGTGCAGAAGCCACACTGAGAGGCATGAAACCCAGACATCCTTTCCAGAACAGCATGAAAGCCATCTCGGGAATTCCCCAGACCCTCAGTAGTGATAATTGAACAGAAATTTATATTGTAAAGAAGTGTCAGGCATGAACTTGCAGTAAATTCAGTCACTTCTTCCGTCTTCGGGTTATGCTTCGCTATAAGGACAACACAAGCTCCACAACCGCCTGAAATATGAATTCGTGAGAAAAGTCATACTAAATATACCGTCATAGATGTGCAAGAATGGGCTGAACTGAAAGATCCGAATCTAACTGACTAAAATAACCAAATGTGTTGTGATTTGATTTGCCCCGATTGGTGAAGGATTTTTATTCCAAATCTGAATTAAAATCCCCAAAAAACAACAAATATAGTCACACAAGGTGATTGAGATGTAGTAACAAATTAATTCAGTTTGCAAAATAACAATTTTAAGAACAATATATTTATTCAATTACCGACTTTTGATAACATTCACAAATATTAACATGTCACAAGACTTGAAAAGTAAGAAGGATCACGGTCATACGAACAGAGGTATATGCATGCTTCTTTTTCAGAAGAGATACTTCGAACATTGTATTTTAAAGGCCTTCCCATGCAGTTTTTTAAGGGACTTGCCCAACAACTTCCTGAATCCTGCAATGTCGCACAACCAGGCAGATAGCCCGCTCCCTCCTTTGCTGGACCGAAAAATTCCTGTCTATATATCAAGATATGTAAACCTAACCTAAATATGAAGTATCACGAAAAATGTAGCTACCCTGAATCTCAAGCCGCACTAGATAGGAAAAACAGAACACTGTTTCGTACTTTCATTACCCTGGTGTCACTGGTGGATGCAAGGGGAGCCATAAGGACCGAACGCACTGAGGTACTGTCAGCATCTCTGCCGCCAGTTCCGTCTCACCTACAGCGCTCCCTCGTTGCGCCGCCACTGCCCCTTTCCGAAGCGAGTTCATCTTGTGGCAGCAGTCCGCGTGCTCTGCGGCCACCCCAACCCGCGGGACACGGACAGGGAAGCCCGATCCCTTGCCGCCGCGCATCGGCGAAACTAAGGCACAAGAATGGCGGGTCCGCTTCATGCGCGTAGTCGAAGATCGCTAGAGAGCGTGGAGGCTGGCAATGGCAGGCAGCTCTCGCCTCTCGCGCGACGGCGTCGAGGCAGGAAAAGTGTGTGCAAGCTATTCGACGAAAAGCGTCAAAGCCATCGTGTTAGGCAAATTAGTAGTTTGGCTCCCGTCAAGTCAAATCATGTTTACAAATCTTATATATTTTTCAAAAAAAAACTAAATTAAAGTAATACTCTTTCCGATCATAAATAATTCAAAGTCAACTATTCCACGCTTTAACTGCATATACTTACCTCTTACATGTTGAATTTGAAAAAACTTTTCGGAATGGAATTTGAAAAAACTACTATGTGCTATGTATGTATGTATATGTATCCACATAGTATGTCTATCTTTAGCGTATGGAGAATTAGGGTCCGTTTGGACGACCAAAACGTTTTGGTTTCTGGTCTGGATCGGAAGAATCGGTGCCAAATGCAAAGAAACGTCGAAACGTTTCTACCGATTTCGACTTTTTAACCAGCGCGAGAGAAACGGCCTAGGGCTGGTTTCGTTGGTTTATGATTCTCCTCTCTCACATGAACTAGCAATCGGTTTCTTTTGTACTTATCCTTTTTAGTGCAACAAATTTAAAATGAGGTGCATTTAGATTGTTATTAGCCCACAAAAAATATCAAGGTTTTCTGAAGTGTATATATATATATATATATATACTTTTTTACAAAAATCTTTTATTTAGGAAACAAAATCCAGTCTTATATAGCAAGTGATTCTGATTCACCGCTGGAACCGAAACGTTCCTAAAAGAATCTAGACTTGGTCAAACTTGCTCAAATGACACTAAATGACCTCATATGAAAAAAACTTGACACTAAACTTGCCCTACCCAACAGCCCTTAGGTCACGTGCAGCGGTCGTCCTTTCCCCGTCTCTATCTTGACAAGTTTACAAAATCCCTCCGTTCTGCTTAGAGCCTTTCTCCCCGTCGTCTCGCGAAGCGAAATTTGATGAATTTTGTTCCCGTGCTCCGAGGCCCAATCGACAGGGTCAGCTGCGCTGTACGATCTCGTATTCCCCTCGAGTCGACGGCGTGCTCGGATCCCACGCGGGCGCTCGTGGTCTCGTTTGCTCCTTCGTCAAGTCCGCAGAGACACGAAGATGCCGCGACACCGCTCCTTCGCATCAGTCCGCACCCGCAACGCTTTTTTCATTTGCAACCTCGCCGGAGCTGCCGCCCGCCTCGCCTCGGCTACCCTACCTCTCCGTGCAGTAATCGACGCCGAGACACACCCGCATCGGAATCGCGGTGAGCTCCTCCAAATTTTCCACCCCTTCTCACCAGTTCCCCGCGCCCTGTAGCTCAAGTTCTGAGCAGCGCCGGCGAGCAAAGCCATGGCACCGTGAGCAAATTTAAACCATCCAAACTCTCAAATGGAAAAGTTGACTAAAAACAAAATTGTCCTCCGCATGGAACAAGCAGCCGTCCGTGCCGAGCCTTCTCTTATTAGCTAGTTGACATCATCTCCGACGTCATGCTTGCATTATGGCCGTTTTTCTTTGAAAAACAAATCCAGAAATACACTCCAGATACACCTTTGTCATGGACACGGTTCATGGTGCACCGCTCTCACATCTCCTCCCGGTCCACGGTTCATGGACCGAGTGCACAAGCATAGTGCATGCTAATTTACAATATAGCCGCTTTTCTTATATCAAATTAAATCACTGTTGCATCATCTTAGAAGCTTGGATGTGGTCTGAAAACTGAAGCCAAATATGCTATCTGAAAACTGAAGTTTGGGAAATTTTGCTACGTACTGAATATTACTGTTTAATGGTTTACCAGTCTATAAAATAAGCCACACGCTGTTCATTCAAGCAATAAAGGGGAAGCTCCTTCGTATTCGATACTCATTGTAACGTAAACGGAACACAATATGACTTGAGTTACTATCTTGCCCATAAAATATATCAAAGCTCGGCCACCCAAAGGAAACTCAAGAATGATCTATCGTTAGTCGAGCACATATGGCAAACGCTATGAAAACAAAGGAAATTAGACAAAAGGCGTTGCAACTTGTCGTTGAAATATAATTATTATATTGATGGTTTTCTCTCACAAAAAATATCGAAATCATGTTGCTTTTTATTTATCCTTTATACATTTTCTATCAAATAGCCATGTAATGGTATACAAAAATTTTTTATAGTTGATCCTATATATATATATATACTTTTTTACAAAAATCTTTTATTTAGGAAACAAAATCCAGTCTTATATAGCTAAAAGGTTTACTAAAGTGATTCTGATTCACCACTGGAACCGAAACGTTCCTAAAAGAATCTAGTGCCCTACCCAACAGCCCTTAAAGATCTATGGACTATAGAGCCACCATCTGCTTCGGACCCCACCCTACACTGAGGAGAGGAATTAATCTCATGCCATCATATTTGTAAATGTCTGTTGCTATTTTTTTTGTGTATGTCGGAGATAATATTAAAAGGATTTTAAAATGAAATAAAAATGATTTTAGTGTTTTTATATTGTTTTCACACTTCTCACTTTTCTGTTGGGGTATCTTGTCCGGTAACGTTAGATTTCTCGGTTTGTTTTTATGTGAGAGTGAGTCTAACGTCGTGAATTACTAAGAGTCTATTTGGGTGACCTAGTTTTCGGAAACTATGGTATTCCAAAACTGTAGTTTTGTAAGTCAAAGAGACACAAAACCATGGTTTAGAAAATAGAGGTCATGAGTGAAGTTTTAAAACTCTATAAAAAGACTACAGTTTTAACAAAACTATGGTTTTAGAAACTACAAAGTTTATTATATTCAAACACCCAACAACTTTTAAAAACCAAAGTATTTCTGAAAATCATAGTATTTCTCCAATACTCTAAAAGTACTTTGTATCAAAACAGTGCCTAAATTGTGACAACACATGAGATTGTGTTTGCGTTTTAGACTTGTGTATGAATTATACGACCATAAACAATGGACTATGGTTTTCTTTTTTAAATGAACTATGGTTGGTTAGCGTTTATAAAGCCATGATTCTTAGTTCTATGGGATAGTGTTTTCATTTTGTTTTGTTCTTTACTTTTTTATCATTATCAAGTGTTCATTATCATATTAGATTATTAGTTTGTTTTCCCTCGTGCTCAATCGCTCGGATTTTATTTCACCTTGCCTCGCGGTGTCGCCCACGTCTTTTAGATATCTTGGTTCAGAGGGTGTACACGTGACTAAGGCCGCCTTTGGTAGACATTCTAGCAGCTCTAGCTCTCACTGACGTTTTTTACTGTAGCGCTACTATTCATTGAAGCTGAATTTCTCTCTCTTCCCTCTCCGTCTCACAGAGCTAATATGAGCTAGTAAAGTTAAAAATTTTGGCTCCAACAGCTCCTTGTGTGTCAGTGAGAGGGAGGAGATGAGAGAGAAAAATAGATCTCACAGAGCTAATATGAGCTAGTGAAGCTAGGCTCCGACAGCTCGTTGTGTGTCAGTGAGAGAGGAAGAGATGAGAAAGAAAAACAGATTTCATCTACAGTAGTTGTGTCAGCAGGAGCCGGATCCTATGGAATCCATACCAAAGAGACCCTATTTGGAACTCAGAAGACATGTCGCACTATAGGGGCCGTTTGGGAGCGCTCCATGGAGCAGATTCTCGAAGAGAATCACTCCCCGACTGCCAAACGCAAAAAAACGACCTAGCTTCTCCAGGGAATCCAAGTGAATCACTCCTCCATTTTGTATACAAGCAAGGGAGCCAAAAAAAAAACTGCTTCCCCGGATTCTCGCCAGCTCTCTATTATATTTTGGTGGGAATCAGCACCCCATCCTACTCCCCCCTAGGAATCCAGTGGAATCACTCCATCTTTCTGTCCTCCTCCCCCTCATACGTTGTATAAAAACTTTCGGTATCTTTTACGTGACCTATTAACTGATACTCATTATCTTTGTTTAGAGCACGTCCCTATACGTGGTGTTATAAATGGGCAACAAGCAGATTTTCCGTACATTCAACTTTGCTTATTTTTCGTACTTATACAGTTCTTTTTGTAAATATAAAGAAACCCTAAATTTCACATAACAGTTGATTCAACGAATGTAAGAAGAAGACTCCATACAAGTGTATGGGTGCATTTGGATGTTGCTCCGGCCCAATGTACGTCCTGCCAAACTCAGGCGAGTGATATATGGCCACTCAGAAATTGACCCATATGTAGGCCGAAAGATAAATTACGTACATGTGAACATGTGAGCCAAAATGCCAAATATCAGTCACAATCCAAACACCTTGGTTGGTGGTTTGCTCACGGTCAATGGCTGAAGTTCCTTTTTTTTCGCGAGCGCGATTGCACCCGTATTTTATCAAAGAGGGAAGGAGTTTAAACCACAACAAGCAACAGATCGGGCGGCGAGAAGCAACCCGGAACCGAGCGGAGCAAGCCTAGACTACTGGATACGCTAGAAGTTGTTACATAGATACAGAATGGCGCGACCAAAGCTCTGTCAATGCCACAAAAGACATGAAACCACCAAGTGCCCACTCCTCCCCTTCAAGCCACACAGCACGCACGACGTCGTTCATGTTCAAAGCAGGTCCTTCGTTGCTGTCGGGCAATACTCACATGCAAGATGCAACCGGCGAGCTTCTTCTGTACGTACGTGTGTGACATCCCAACCGGGAAATTATAAAAAAAATGGTGGGGACATATATATACCCCGCGAAGGCATAGTGAGAACCTACCATGAATTCATATATAAAGACTGCTTAAATTCAGAGACTAAAGTTTAGTGTCTCACACGGGTGTCACATGTGGGTGTCACGTCGAGTGTTCGAAAAGTAATAAAAAAAGGGAGTGTCTACCGCGTGCTCGAGTGATGGTGGGGCTTCCATCACCCGGGTGTAGAAAGCAAAAGAAACACCTGATTTAGACCCTAGACAAAATCGAGTGTTTCTAAGTTATG